GAATTTTCCTAGCTTTTGCTTGGTTCTTTTTCTGACTGCTGAAATTTACCAATGTATTGGGTCATGTTTGGTTCCTGAACGACCTATACACATAGTCAGTGCGGTAGAATATGCATGGTGCCACAGGGTTTACAAAGTGCAAGGGTTTCTGAAACTTAAGGTAATTCAAATTCAGACTGTGACCCCTTCTTTGAATGACTCCTGGCTACAGAACCCTGGGGTTTCATTTCTTTAATGTGAGAGGGGAGGTAGGGACAGAACCCTCACTACAAAACCCTGGAATTTCATTGCTTGATATGATGACATATTTTTTAAAGCAATACTACTTCGAAGAATTCAGATGTCATATCTTCAGTGGGCTGAATATTTACAATATTTTGAAACTTTCCATTCAACGAGAGTGCCAACATCTACAGAGACATTTGCTAAAACTCTGCCATTTATTCTTACCCTTGCAAAGAAAAGCAGACATCCTCCTGGCCCTCTATGAATCCTAGGTGAATTATACAAGATCATTTTATTTACTTTACTGTGCTGATGCCCCGATCTTTTATCTTAAAAGTTTCCAGTTTCTCTATTGCTCATGTTCAGTGTTCTGTCATAGTCATTCATCTAGAAATGATGACCATCATTTTTAAGCTTCTGTGTGAAATGAGGTGGGTGCTGTGTGCCTCTGTTTGGCCCAGCTTGTCTTTGCTTTTAGCACATTGTTTCTAATGACCTTAATTTTACAGTAATTTAGTAATCAGTGAACAGTACATCACTGAGTACAAATACATTTATTTTTGTATGAGTGGAAAATTTCTTTCTAAAACGGAAAATTAATGTTTTTAGTTTTACATGTTTATTAATTTTTAGTTAGCATATAGGATTCATGCTTATTATTCATAATTATACCCCATATACCCCCTAAATACCTTCTTGCTTCTCTTGATAACTAATGCTTTCACACTCCCCAAATAGTCTCACCTAATTTACCATTCTTATTCTCCTTATCCTCTCTTATTCTTCACTCTGATCTCCTTAGACATTATTCACCCTCTTCATAGTTACCTTTCTATGCCTGGGCAAGATACTAATTGAGGAGTATAGTACAATATCAGTCATTTTATCACTACTTTTTTTTAAATAAAAGACCACTGGTATTTGATTTTATTTTAGGTTCCTGGGAATCTGGTCTGCTCTCTGGTTCTTGGTCATCCAAGCAGTGCCAGGTATATATAGCAGGCTTTCTTGAACCACCAGCTCCCAAATTATGACACAGAGACATATTATTATGAATACTTGGCCTTAGCTTCCTTTAACTTAAATTAGCCCAATTCTATTAATCTATGTAGTACCCTGAGATTCATTTACTTATCTATGTATTGTCTATCCTGATTTTCTGCTTCCTCTGTGTCTGTCTGTCTGGCGCCATGCTGGCTGGCCCCTATTCTTTCTGCCTACCAGCCCCATCTATCCCTCCTTTGCTTATCTATTGGCCATCAGCTTTTTGTTAGACCAGTCAGGTGCTTTAGGCAGGCAAGGTAAAATAGCAACACATCTTTACATAATTAAAAAAATGCAGCATAAATAAAAGTAATATATCTTTGCATAATTAAACAAATATTCTAATCCACAACAGGAATAGGTTCTATCTCTTAGAGACGCCTTAAGTCAAACCAGAGATTTGTCAGTTACTCCCATGGGTTTTATACTACCATTGTTCTGACATATTTTGTAGGTAGGATGGATTGTAGATCAAAGGTTTTGTGGCAGGGTTGGTCTTTGCAATTCTCTTGGAAGTCTGCAGAGTACCTTTTGTTGTTAAAGATACTAGAATATGGGAGTACAGGTTCTATTTAGGTACCAGTTTTTCCCTCTCCACGTTTAGTGAACTGTACATGTGTTGTCTTCAGCAATGAGAACTTGCTGTCAGTGTGTGGAAACCAGGCCTTGGCAATAGCCTGGGTTGTTTAAGGATTCACATGGGACCCCATTGGCCAACAACTCAATTAGATGTTTAACCCAGTCCTGGTACTGGAAGCTTCACTGAATGACAAGAAATGGCCAGTTGGCATTCTGTCTCCTTCATTATTTGATGATTTCTTTTAGATCACCTTCATATATATATACATATATATACATATATATGTTTTTAGGGAGAGTCTACTTATTAGGTTTCCATACTAAACCTCAAATGACCTTTAATTTTAGCTGTCTTTTCCTGTATTGTCACTCTAATCCCTGTCTAGACTTGATCCTTCCTATTCCAAATCACCCATGCATCCATAACTATCCATTCACTGTCACTTTCCTAAAGAGATCTATCTGTACAATCTATCCCCCTACTCTATACCCACCCTCTGTGGTTCTACAGATTGTGGCTTGGTTATCATTGACTTGGCAGCTAAAATTCACATATAAGCAAATATGTACAATATTTATATGTCTGGGACTAGAATACTACTCTCAGGATAATTTTTTTAGTTCTATTTTTTACCTGCATATTTCATGATGTCTTTTTTTACATTCTTTTTTATTTTTACTTAAAAATTTCTACCTTCTCCCTTCCTTCCATTCCCCCCTCCCCCTCCCTCTCCAGTTCAAAGAGCAGTCAGTGTTCCCTGCCCTGTGGGAAGTCCAAGGTCCTCCCCACTCCATCCAGGTCTAAGAAGGTGAGCATCCAAACAGACTAGGCTCCCATAAATCATGATGTCTTTTTTTAATGTCTGAGTAATACTTCATTGTATAAATGTTCTCCATTTTCTTTATTCATTCATCTGCTGAGGGACATCAGGGTCATTTCCTATTTGTGGCTATTATGTATAGAACAGCAATGAACATGGTTGAGTCCTTGTATCCTTGTGATACAATAAAGCATCCTTTGAGTATATGCACAAAATAGTGGTTTAACTAGATCTTGAGGTAATTGGATCCCCATGTTTCTGAGGATTTCCACAGTAGCTGTACAAGTTTGCACTCCCACCAGCAATGTATGAGTGTTCCCCTTACACTACATCCTCTCCAGCATTAGCTGAAACTTATTTTTATTGATCTTTGACATTCTGACATGGGTAAAATGGAATCTCAAAGTTTTGACTTGCATTTCACTGATGACTAAGGATGTTAAACATTTTTAAGTGTTCCTTAGCCATTTGAAATTCCTCTATTGAGAATTCTGTTTAGATCTATACTTCATCTTTTTTACCTTTTAATTTTTAAATACCATATAATCTGAATACAGTTTCTCCTCCCTCTATTCTTCCCAGTTCCTCCCCATCTCCTTTCCTATCTGAGCCACTCACTTCCTTTCTGTCTCTCATTAGAAAAGAATAGGCTTCTAAGGGATAACAACAAAACATAACAAAATAAGATATAGTAAGATAAAACAAAAGCCATTATATCAAAGTTGGACAATCCAAGGCAACAGAAAACTAAAAAAGTCCCAAGAGAAGGCACAAGAATAAGACACAGTTGTTCACACATGCAGGAGTCCCAGAAAATTACTAAATTGAAAGCTATAGTATAAATACCGAGGACCTGGTGTAGACCCATGTAGGCCTTGTGCTTGCTGCTTCAGACTCTGTGTGTTCATATGATCATTGCTTAGTTAGAAGACCTTGTTCTTCTGGTGTCTTCTGTTCCCTCTGTCTCCCCTCTTCTTTCCACCTCCTCCTCTGCAGGGTTGGTTACCTGAGCTCTGGGTGGAAGGATTTGATGGAGATATCTTGTTTAGACCTATGTGTTCCAAGGTCTCTCTGTGTGTATTGTTTGACTGTGTTGTCTCTGTATTTGTTCCCATCTGCTACAGAAGGAAGCTTCTCTGATGATGGCCAAGTAAGGCACTGTTTATGAGCAAAACAGAATTGTAGACCCCTATTTCTATTATGGTATGGCAGCCAGGCTCTAAAGCCATAGTCAGTGTCTAAAATGGTCACACACCCTTCCAGACAGGCTGTCACTGACCTAACAAAAGGTCAGGATGTTGTTTTGCTCCTTTCTTTGTAATTTGGAGGATGCCTGATAGAGATGCTGATTCAAACCTACGTGACAGCTAGCATACAGAGCAGATAGGTAGATGAGGATGTGACTAAAAGTCATTCACCTGGTTACCTAGGAGACAGAATGCTGGTGTATTTCCCCTCAGTTTATGTTTTGATATATAAGGCTGTTTAGAGAATAAACAAGAGGAATTCTCCAGGATGTGAACTCAGGACTTCCTGAGGGACCACTGAGTATCTCCCCCACCATAAAACCATGTGAGTTGTGTCTTTATTCCCATGGCTCCACGCCGGTCCAGAGAGAGATAGTGTATGTTGGGGTCTAATTAAGAGAAATCATTTATGGTCTGGGCTAGCACAGGACCCCAATACAGAATATCATTAAGAGTCATTTTATTGATAATTCTTTTTAGACCACCAGTGTTTCATTTGATCCCAGTTCTCTGGGCAATCTAGTCTCTGCTTTTTGTCACCCAATCATGAGCTTTACGTTCAATCAGATATTGGCTGGCTACTCCCACAAGTTCTGTGCCGCCAATGCCTTAGCATATTTTAAAGGCAGGATGGACTGCAGATTAAAATTTTTGTGGTAGAGTCAGTGTCTACATTTCTCTTTTGGAAGCCTGTAGAATAGCTTTCTGGGTCAAAACACTGGAACATGCGGGTGAAGGTTCTATGTAGTCATCCTCCCTATGTTCAATGAGTCATTGGTATACCCCATTTTTAATTTGTTGTGTTCTTTTTTCTGAAAAGGTAAACTTTAAATTGAAAAAAAAATAAATGCCACACACAACTTCACATTTATGCTAAGCTCTTTCACTTGAAGTTTTTCAGACAAATCAGATTTCTACTGAATTCAAACAACCTGAATACATATCCACAGTAGACACAGAGTCCAGTCCCTTTCACAGGGGAATAATACTCAGTCTTCAACAATGTCCATGATTTGAGTGACTAAGCACAAGTTCAGAATACCAGTTTCTTTATCAGCAGATACACTCTGGAATGCACCTCAAATTAATGTAGGTTGTTGGCGTCACCCTGAATCCTCATGAGCAAGCCCCCATAGGACATATATGCAGAGTGGCGTGTTGCCACTTCAGTAGAGGTATCATTCCCCTCAACCCTGTACACTTACCCATACATTACATGTTCAAACTGCTCAGTCTTAGAAGGCCTATCATCGGTGGGGTTGTATTCACTATTATCTTAGGGTTCCAATTGCCGGGAAGAGACACCAAGATGATGACAACTCTTGTAAAGGAAAAACATTTAACTGGATGGCTTACATTTTTCAGAGGTCTAGTCCATTTTCATCATGGTGTGACATGGTGGCATGTAGGCAGACTTAGTGCTGGTAAAGTAGCCAAATGTCCTACAATCTTGACTTTAGGCACTAGGAAGTGAATTGAGATACTGGATGTGGCTTGAGCATAATGAGACCTCAAAGTCCACCTTTACAATGACACATTTTACCTAACAAGGCCACATTCACTCCAACAAAGTCACACCTCCTAATTGTACCATTCCCTTTGGAGTCATTTTCTTTCAAACCAACACAACCATCATCCAAGGAACCATCTTCATACAAGGTACTAGTTTTGACCAATTGGAATTTGTCACCTAAGTCTACAAAGTAAATCTGAACATTTACATCTAAGATGTAGTCCATCCTGAAAGATTCACTCTCAGAGTTCTGTCAAGATACTCAAATTTCTTGTCTTCTGGGACAATATCTTTCATATCAAAAATCTCTTCAAACAGGATGTTCACCGTCATGAGGGGCATGAAAGCTGCAGAGTTGCTGAACATATGGCCACACTTGGGTTTTTTGTTTTCTTGATACCTGGTTTTTTAGAATCTTTATATCGTTTGGATATTAGCTCTCTATTTAATGTGTACTTGATAACCATCTTTCCCCATTCTATAGCCTGTGGCTTTGTCTAAATGACAATGTCCTTCACTATACAGAAATGTCTCAGGTTCAAGTGGTTCTGATTACTAATTGTTGATCCCAGTGCCTGCACTTACAGTGTTCTGTTCAGAAAGTCTTTTCCTGTGCTAATGAGTTCAAGGCTATTCTCCACTTTCTCTTCCGTCAGATTCAGTATATCTGATTTTATGTTGAATTTCTTAAATTTATTTATTTATTAAAAATTTCTGTCTCTTCCCATATCCCTCCCCCTACCCCAATCAACTCCCCCTCTCTCATCAGCCTGAAGAGCAGACTGGGTTCCCTGCCCTGTGGGGAGTCCAAGGACCTCCCACTTCCTTCCAGGTCTAGTAAGGTGAGCATCCATACTGCCTAGGCTCCCACAAAGCCAGTACGTGCAGTAGGATCAAAATCCAGTGCCATTGTTCTTGACTTCTCAGCAGTCCTCATTGTCCGCTATGTTCAGCAAGTCCGGTTTTATCCCATGCTTTTTCAGACCCAGTCCAGCTGGCATTGGTGAGTTCCTGATAGAACATCCCCATTGTCTCAGTGTGTGGATGCACCCCTCGCGGTCCTGAGTTCCTTGCTTGTGCTCTCTCTCCTTCTGCTCCTGATTTGGACCTTGAGATTTCAGCTGGTGCTCCAATGTGGGTCTCTGTCTCAGTCTCCTTTCATCACCTGATGAAGGTTAATATTCAGGAGGATGCCTATATGTTTTTCTTTGGGTTCACCTTCTTATTTAGCTTCTCTAGGATCATGAATTATAGGCTCAATGTCCTTTATTTATGGCTAGAAACCAAATATGAGTGAGTACATCCCATGTTCCTCTTTTTGGGTCTGGCTTACCTCACTCAGGATAGTGTTTTCTATTTCCGTCCATTTGTATGCAAAATTCAAGAAGTCATTGTTTTTTACTGCTGAGTAGTACTCTAATATGTATATATTCCATACTTTCTTCATCCATTCTTCCATTGAAGGGCATCTAGGTTGTTTCCAGGTTCTGGCTATTACAAACAATGCTGCTATGAACATAGTTGAGCATATAGTTTTGTTGTATGATAGGGCATGTCTTGGGTTTATTCTCAAGAGTGGTATTGCTGGGTCCAGGGGTAGGTTGATCCCGAATTTCCTGAGAAACTGCCACGCTTCTTTCCAAAGTGGTTGCACAAGTTTGCATTCCCACCAGCAATGGATGAGTGTACCCCTTTCTCCACAACCTCTCCAGCAAAGGCTATCATTGGTGGTTTTGATTTTAGCCATTCTGACAGGTGTAAAGTTGTCTTGATTTGCATTTCCCTGATCTCTAAGGAGGTTGAGCATGACCTTAAGTGTCTTTTGGCCCTTTGAACATCTTCTGTTGAGAATTCTCTGTTCAGCTCAGTGCCCCATTTTATAATTAGGTTGATTAGCCTTTTGGAGTCTAGTTTCTTGAGTTCTTTATATATTTTAGAGATCAGACCTTTGTCAGTTGCGGGGTTGGTGAAGATCTTCTCCCAGTCAGTGGGTTGCCTTTTTGTCTTAGTGACAGTGTCCTTTGCTTTACAGAAGCTTCTCAGTTTCAGGAGGTCCCATTTATTCAATGATGCCCTTAATGTCTGTGCTGCTGGGGTTATACGTAGGAAGTGGTCTCCTGTGCCCATAAGTTGTAGAGTACTTCCCAGTTTCTCTCCTATCAAGTTCAGTGTGTTCAGATTGATATTGAGGTCTTTGATCCATTTGGACTTGAGTTTTGATATCCTTTCTTTGTTTTGTACACTTAATGTCTTGACTACTATTCCGAGGGGACATTCTTTTCTGGTCTACTCTATTTGCTGTTCTGTATGCTTCTTCTACCTTGGTAAGCATGTACTTCTTTGATTAGGAAATTTTCTTCTATAATTGTGTTGAAAATATTTTCTGTGCCTTTGACCTGAGTTTCTTCTCCTTCCTGTATTCTCATTATTCTTAGATTTCTTTTCCTCATATTGTCCCACATGTACTTGATGTTTTGTGTCAGATTTTTTTTTAGATTTAATATTTTCTTTGACTGACACATCCATTGCCTTCAATATCTGATATTCCCTCTTCCATCTCTTATACCATGTTGGTGAAGCTTTCCTCTGTAGTTCTTGTTTGATTTCCTAAATTTAGGAGGGAGAAAAGCATAGTGCTCTACCAGGATCCTCTTAATCCCCTCAGAATAAGGATATAAAGTAAGGAGAGGTTATAGCAGAAGGTTTGCTACAAAGATAAGGATGAGGCTGAGGAACTGGACATAGAGGACTAGAAGTGGAGGCGAAGATCTGCAGTGAAGATCTGAAGCCAGCCTACTTTCCTGGCTGGTTCCCAGGAGTGCATGCTGGAGCTGGATCCAGGGACATAGCAATGGGTTGCGGGAAGGAGGTTAGGAGAGAAAGATCTGTGGAATTCCCAGGAGATGGGGCAGTGGTGTTGCAAAGCAGGGGGTGAGACTGGGGATTTTTCTGGAGGAGCAGAGGGAGAGGTGAAGATCTGCAGTCAGTCTTCCTGCTTCCCTAAGAAGTATCTTTTATACATTTAAATATAATTTCCTTTTTATATACTTTTGGTATCCTGATAGTAATATTATGGAAAGGTTTTTCCTTTTTATGCCTATTTGAGTTTCAAAATGTCTTGTGTTAAGAGTTCCATTTCTTTTTAATCTTAGTAATTTTCTGCTATAATTCATCGGATCCATTTTCTGTGTTCTTCATTGTTTTTGTTGTCCTTTGATTTACCATTCACTTTTATTTTCTCTGTTTCTTTCATGCTTGTATTCTTTCTACTCTTATGATTAGTCAATAATATCTAAGTATGAGCCATGCTTCTCTGTACTGACAAATTGTGTTGCCGGTGCTTCACAGCCTCTCTGTGCAAGTCAGAGTGGTACTGAGGTAAAGGTAATAGAAAGTGATACCACATTGAAAGTGATATTATTTGTGCCATACTGATTTTAGATTAATATAATAATTATTTGATTTCTATCTTAGAATGGGTCCCCCTTCACCACATTCATTTCTTATTTTGTCTCTTCTGCTAATATTATCCTCCTGTGACCCCACCCCAATTCATTAGTTGCTAAGACTTTCATATGTACTCTTTGTTAGCTCTTGGTAGGTTGACAGAAATATATCTACTGGATCACATTTCTGGTCCTAATTAGAGTTGTCACTGATCTTTGTGGTGATCTAGTTCTCAGTTTCTACCCTGAATCAATCCCAGAAGAGAGAAAAAAAAACTTCTGGGTATCATTTAGACAAATAAAATTGTCCCTTTTAATGTGCCTTTCTTCTACAAGCTATGCCAAAGCCAACTAATTTCCTCTGGTTTTCTGCCATTTCCCCCCACCTCCCTGGGAAGTTCTGTAGGTCTTATCTTTGACAGTCTCTTCCCACAACCAGGCTGAGCCATCAAATCTGAGAATGTAATGATACTTTGTTGGAAGAAGCCAGCCAACTTAAACAGTAACTCTGAACTTGGTTGAACATTGGGTTTTGAGGATGATAAAAACTTCATGATGACAAAAAGCCAAATACTGTGTGGCCATGAGAGAGCACTTGTCACAGGACAGGACCCAAGTTATCAGTGGATTCTATTTTATTTTATTTTTGAGACAGGATCTTACTGTGTAATCCAGACTGCCTACTAAGAGCTGACATTAAATGTGTATACCATCATATCCAACCATAAGTGGATATTTTAAAGTCAACCCTACTCCAAATGGGTTTAACAGCCTGCCTTAGAATCAATAGATTAGAAGTTGGGAGAGAAGTTAGAGGGGACAAGGGCTAACAAACCAACCTGTGTTAGGGTCTCTAAGAATTTCCCTTTTCTCCAACTTGGAGCCATAGGAATCTCTCAGCCATTATCACAGTCTCTAGAACTGTTCTTTCACCTCTGCACTTTCCATGAGCAAGTGGGAGCTCACTGGCTGGAAAACAATGACCTTTAACCACAGCAGGAATGATGGACCATGTGTTAAATTCTCCAGAAAATGAAAAAGGAGGGACCAAGACTCTCAGAAGGACACACAGTGACTGACTGGGCCACAGCAAGTGCGTGTGGACGGACTTGTCTTTTCTTGGGTAGGTGTGTGTGGAGGCTTGATGACGTGTGAAGGCAAATAGAGGCCAGTAGCTGCAGCAGCGGTAGAGTTTATTATTTATAGAGATTAGGAGGTAATGTTGGGATTGTAATCTAAACATTTAGAACCAAAGATGACCCCAGGAATGAAAGCTTTCATCAGACTGGCCAACTAATAGGTTGTCAATAGGCAACCATTGGAACTTATAGGATAAAAATTGTAAGTATGTTTCTCAAGTGGTGTGATTCAAGAATGTGATATTAATTTTGATAATAAAAATATCTCAGTGAGACCTGGATGGAGGTGGGTGGTCCTTAGACTTCCCACAGGGCAGGGAACTCTGATTGCTCTTCGGGCCGACGAGGGAGGGGGACGTGATTGGGGGAGGGGGAGGGAAATGGGAGGTGGTGGCGGGGAGGAGGCAGAAATCTTTAATTAATAAATAAATTAATTAATTAAAAAATAAATAAAAATATCTCAGTGGACAGTAAACATAACTTGAAAATCAATGTTGATCAGATTTTGATGAGCATTTGGAATACAAGACTTTTCAGATAAGAAACTCAGAGAATCAAATAACTGCATGTACTCCTATCTGCATAGCACTTGTTAAACTGTAAAGGAGTATGCTGTGATCTCTCAGATTTGCTTCTTTTTA